TTTTTTTGTTATCAAGGATCGAACTCAGGACCTTGGACTTGCAAGGCAAGTGGCGGCACCGCTGAGCTAAATCCCCGGCCCCTACAATTCCTTCTTAATCTCTATGCCAAAAAGCACAAGAGTCCTTACACTTTCCTTCTTGTCTTAGTTGGTGACAGGTGCCACACTGGTGTACAAGGCAGGAACAGAGACGGCTTGGTGTGTGGTCAGGACTCATGCTAGGCAGTTCAGACGAGTGCCTGAAAGCAGAGCTGGTGCCAGCCAGTCAGTGTGTGCTTTCCTGTGACTCAGCAGGCACACCGGGCAAGCAAAGTATTCGGGAAGCGTGGGAGCCACGCATGTGCACAGCAGTGAATCATCTGCGGTCTGGACAGGCAGGTTTGTGACATTCACCTGCGTGTCCTCTCTCGCCCGAGTCTGCAGTGGGGAGGGCTGAGTTTTCCACAGTCCAGGCAGGTTCAGAGAATCTCACTTTCCCTAGTGTTTGGAGTGGGGAGTACGTGGGATGGCTGTTGAATCTGTCCCAGAGAGGCCCCTCAGACCTTCTGGATGCTCCCCAGAAGAGCATGCTATGGAGGCAGGTGGACACTTACACCCGCACCATTTCCCCTTTTCAGCTGTCTATCTGTTTGACTTGATCTACATGTACCATCTTTCTTAATTATTTCTGTTCCGACGGGAGAGCGGCTCCCATCTTCCAGATACATTTTTCCTCAGTGGATCCTTGCTGAGCTTCTCCAACGCGGCTCCTCCTCTAGTCAGCCATTTGGACTCGCCTCAGAAAAAACTTTGGGCAGAGCTCAACATTCATTCATGGAAAAAAACATGAAGAAAATAAATACAGATCCTCATCTCAACCAGATAAAAGCCATTTATGACAAACCTACTGCCAACATAATATTAAACAGGGAAAAGCTGAAAGCTTTCCCTCTAAAATCAGGAACAAGGATTCCACTATCACCATTTCTGTTTAATATAGTATTTAAACTTCAACCAGAACAATAATCAGGTAAGAGAAAGAAATAAATGGGACACTTATAGGAAAGAAAGAGCTCAAGTTATGATAGACAGCTAAGTCAGATAGAAATTGTATATGCAGTCAGACAGGGCTAGGCCTTCAAGGGAGCCGATACAGAGATAAAAATACATTACAACTATGACTGGAGATGTATCTGTCGGAGGCCAGGCTTCAAGAGAAAGACAAAATGGGCCCTCCATTACTGCCAATTCCTGGGTTTCTAGGGAAGTGACTGGAACCCTCCAAAGAAACATTTTTAAGAGTAAATTTTTAGTGTTAAACTACAAACAAGTGTCTCCTGATTTTTTTTTTTTCAATACGTTTGGTGAGTGCTGTGACCCTACTGTAGGTTTGGGTTTTTTTGTTTTGTTTTGTTTTGTTTTTCTGCTGCCCCTTTCAGGGGAGAAGTGGTTTTAAGGGTTAATTTGAGGGAGTGAATTTCTATCCCCTCCCCACCTCTTTTGCTTCTCTGCTTGTCAGTATTGTCTGTGTGATTCAGAGAATTGGAGCAGTCACTCTGTGTCCTTTGTTGAGAAGACTAAAACATTAAAAAGTAGCGGGCCTGGCATGGCGGCCGCACAGCCTGCGATCCCAGCACTTGGGAGGAGCACTGAGGCACTGAGGCAGGAGGATCACTGTGACTTCGAGACCAGCCTGGGCTACATACTGAGTTGCAGGTCAGTCTGAACTACACAGTGTTTTAAAAAAAAAAAAAAAAAAAAAATAGCTGTAGGAGCTGGGGACCCAAGTTTGAGCCCCAGTACAAAAAAAAAAAGATAAAGACAAAATGGCCAGACCTGCATGCCTCCCCCAAAGAGATTAACAATAAATTAACATCAGTCACCAAGTGGGTGACCAAGACATCCTGATTTGTCTCTTCCTAAAAGATCCTTATTCTTCCCAGGTACCCTTGCTACATGTCCTGCTTCCTCATTGGATCAATTTTACCTAAGTGACTAAACATGCAATCTTATTGGGTGATCATAGTTTTGTCCCGTGTTGTACCCACCTCATAATTTTGCATCCACCTTGTAATTTTACATCTACCTCATGATTTTGCACCCACATCATGATTTTACTCTACAAAATTTCCTCTGTTGGGGCCAAGGATTTAGCTCAGTGGTTCTGCCACCCGCCTTGTAAGCGCAAGGACCCAAGTTTGATCCCCGGTACCTTCCTCTGTAAAGTGGGGTCTGCAGCAAACTCATTTTTTGGGTCCCCTCCTGTCTCTGAGGAGATCTGAGGGCCTCTCTCCCCCAATAAATATTACTACTTTTAACTTCCCTTATTCCTTATAATTCATTCTTCAATTTTGGGGAACATGAACTTGGCATATGGGACATCTAGCAGCTTGGGAATTACATTTATTTCCCCTGTATCAATATCAAAATTATCATTATTTGCAGATGATATGATCCTCTACATAAAAGACCCAAAAAACTCCACCAAAAGACTCACAGAATAAATTCAACAGTATAGACAGATACAAAAACAAGACAAGAATCAAGTGGTCCTGTACACCAGTAATGATCTCACGAAGAAAGAAGTTAGATAAACAGTACCATTCACAATAGCATCAAGGGGCCGGGGATTTAGCTCAGTGGTTCTGCTACCTGCCTTGCAAGCGCAAGGACCTGAGTTCAATCCCCAGGACAAAAAAAAAACAAACACAATAGCATCAAGAAAAATTAAATATTTTGAAATTAACCAAGGAAGTAAAAAACTCTTATAATAGCCAGGCATCGTGGCGCACTTCTGTAATCCCAGCACTCGGGAGGCTGAGGCAGGAGGATCACTGTGAGTTTGAGACCAGCCTGGGCTATATGGTGAGTTCCAGGTCAGTCTCAACTACACAGTGAGACCCTGCCTCAAAAAACCAAACCAAAACAAAACAAAACAAAAAAAGACTTCTATAATAAAAACTGTAGTACCCTGAAAAAAGATTGAAGAAGACATCAGAAAATAGATATCCCCTGCTTCTGAATAGGCACGACTAATATTGTCAAAATAGCCTTACTATCAAAACTGACATATAGATTTTATGCAATCCCAATCAAAATACCAACAACATTTCTCACAGAACTAGAAAAAACTATCCTAAAATTTATATGGAATCAGAACAGCAAAAGCAATCCTGGGCAGCAAAAGCAAAGCAGGATGCATCACGATCCAGATTTCAAGTTATACTACAAAGCTACAGTGATAAAAACAGCATGGTACTGGCACAAAAACAGGTGTGTGTCAATGGAACAGAATAGACAAGTGGTGACAAACCTGTACCATGCATGCCACAGTGGACTGTTTGTATCTAAAGGGTTCACTATATCAATACCACTGGGGATGTAGCTGAGTGGTACCACACCACCTCCCAAGTGCAAGGTCCTGAGTTCAATCCCTGGTACGGGGGGGTCATTATCAGTGGAATAGAGACTAAAGAAATACTGCTAGACATGATTGGCTATTTGATCTTTGACAAAGGAACCAAAAACATATGTTGGAGGAAAGACAGTCTAACAAATGGTGCTCAGAAAACTGGTTACATAGAAGATTGACTCTAGACTCATATCTCTTATCATGTAGAAAAATAAAATAAAAATGGATCAAAGATATAGATATTAAAAGAGAAACACCAAACACGCTGAAACATAAAATAGGTATAACTCTTGAAAACATAGGAACAGGAATAGACTTTTTTAACAGAACCCCAATTACAAAAGAAATAGCATCAAGAAACAACAGATGGGACTATATCAGATTAAAGAGCCTCTGCACAGCAAAGGAAACAAATAGAACGAAGAAACAATCTATAGAATGGGAAAAAATTTTTGCCAGCTATATCTTGTACAGAAGACTAGTATCTACAGTTTACAAAGAACTCAAAAAAAATTAGACCCCACAAAATAAAAGACCCAGTCAAAAAAAGTGGGCAAGTGAAATGAACAGACCCTTCTCATAAGTAGTACAAATGGCTAATAAATATATGAAAAATGTTCAGCATCTCAGGTCATAAGAGAAATGCAAATTAGAAAAACACTGAGATTTCATCTTACTCCAGGAAATATGGCTATCAAAAAAACAAAATGCATGTGAGGCTGCAAGGAAAGACACCCTTCTACACTGTTAATGGGAGGGCCGGGGATTTAGCTCAGTGGTTCCACTGCCTGCCTCACAAGTGCAAGGATCTCAGTTCGATCCCTGGTACCAAAAAAAACAAAACAAACAAAAAGGTACACTGTTAGTGGGAATGTAACCTGGTATAACCACTATGGAAATCAGTATGGAGATTTCTCAAAAAACTAAAAACAGGAATTCTATTCGACCCAGCTGTTTCCCTTCTAGAAATCTTCCCCAGAGAGCTAAAGACATTGTATTATAGTAATACTTGTATATCCATGTTTAATGCGGCACAACTCATAACAGCTAAAGCCTCAAAGTGGTGTATATGCTCATCAACAGATGGAGAGATAAAGGAAATAGAGTATTTAGACGTAATGGAGTACTTCTCTACCGTTAAGGGTAAATTTGAGTCATTTGTGGGAAAGTGGACGCAGCTTTAGACCATACTGTTAACTGAAATGTCAGATACACAAACTTAAATATTGCATGACTTCTCTTATATGAGAAACCCAAAGTATAAGTCATCAAAAGAAAAAGCTAAATAAAAGCGAACGGGAAACAGGTATCAGATCTTTTGCAATTTGAAAGTGATCAGTGATGGAGAGGGGTGGAGGGAGGCCGAAGGGAAATTTTGAAAAGCAAAAACCACCACCCAAATATATCCCCGGGGAGTTAACAGTCGCTTACATCTGGAATTGACTGGGAAGGGCTTTTCACTTCACGCAAATACCTGAATACCTCTTCACCCTTCAAGTCTGACTGTACAGTGGTGGTTCACTGTTACCCATGTGATGGTCGCGGTGTCTGTACTGATTCATTTTCTTTACTGATACAGTACTAGCGATCCGTGTCTTACCTCTTTATCTATGCCATTCTCTCGAGAAGTTTAAAGGTTTTACTATCCCCTGCCCCAAGGAATCCACTTTCATTTGTTTTGTATTCTACTTAACAATTTTCACCTTTCTTCCTCCCTCTCTCCGCCCCCTTTAAAGCACTGTTGTCCAGCGGTGTGTCTCAGAAATCAAGAAAACAGACACGTTCAAGGCGAGCATGCTATTGATATTGCCCATGGTGTAGAGGCCAAGATGAGGACGGAAACGGAGAAGAGATACTTCACATGGAGGATTTGATGTGGAGGTAGGCGTTAAGGGTTTTGGTTACATACATTAGACTCAAGTTGAGGCTTTTATGGGTCAGTGAACATGAAGGAAAGGAGAGTCTTACAGTCTAACAGCCATGGTCAAATGTGGCCTGTCTCTTATTTTTATCCCTTCCATAAATAAAGCATGTTTTTCACATTTGGGAGTACTTTAAAAATATATATATATATTTTAATAATATATATATATATATGGTTAATTTATATGAACTTTAAACCTTGTGGGTGTTTTTGTTTTGTTCTGAGACAGGGTCTTGCTAGTAGTTTAGGCTGGCCTTGAACTCATTATGTAGCCTATGATGGCCTCGAACTTGTAATGATCCTCCTGCCTCAGCCTTCTAAGTGCAGGGATTACAACAGGCATGTGCCACCACATCCAGCACTAACCTTGTGTTTATATAAAAGTTTTTATTGGCGCAGAGCCACATTCATTCATTTATGTATGATCTATGGCTACATTTATGCTAAGTAACTTCAAGAGACACCATATAACTTGGAAACTAAAGTATCTGCTACCTTTACCAAGTAACTTTTACAAACTGCTTTAAATGATTCACTTCAACACAGGCACTGTACTGTAGCACAGTATAATGCACCCTAATTACCGCCACTTGTTAACCACGTGGCTAAATCAAATGGTCCTCTCTACCACTTCAAACTATAACCCAGGGGCAAAACAGGAGTTCCACGCTCAATACATACCTACTGTCTTTAATGCAGTGGGCAGCTGTGAGGACCCACCTGTCTCTCACTAGGCTTCCTCCACAAACATGAACAAGAACAGAGTCATCTTGAACCTGCAGGCTGACTATCCATGGCCAGGCCCCAGCTTGAGCTTCTGTGCCTCCTACAATCCGAGGGCCCGTCAACACATCTCTAAGTGGTGCTGATCCACAATCTAAGGATAAAAATGGTATATTATTTGAGCTAATCATCAGTATTCCTGAGTATCTGTTACTTCCTAATCCGAACACATTATAATATAAACCTTTGAATTCCCGTTTTTAAAAACTGATGGGTCAAGCTGGATACCTGAGGCATGCCCAGATTTTGAAAGAATCTTACAGGAGAAATGAGATAAACATACCACAGTTGATTACTTTCAAATAGACATCAGCACAATTTTAAAACTACTCCCAAAAGTATAAATACGGTGCAAGTTTCTGTGGCCTGTGTAAAACTGATTACGAGCCTGAGGCTTGGGGGCCAAGGGCATGGAGCCGGCAGGTGCGAGGCCTGGGGTTCGATCCCCCTTCTAATCCTACCCCCAAGGGTGGGGTGGAGAAGCCAGCCTGAGTGGGGAGAGCTGCACATTCTAATTCTTGGCCATTTCACCTGTGAAACACAACTGTATTATGAAAAGGTCACCTAACGGCCCTTTCAACTCACCGATGAATTATTCATCTGTACAATGAGAATGATAAACTCCAGAACTGTACCAAGTACATATACAGAAAATAAATGTATGCCTAACACTGCAGTGGTTGCAGAAGCAGCTTAGGTCTGTGACATGCTGGTTACAGGCCGTTGTTGGGGCGGGAGACAAGGAGCCAGGCTGCCACCCGGGTGAACAGGCGAACAGATACTGCCCTTCGCGTCCAGGTCCTCCTGCCGCCCGCGCGCTGCCTCGGCCCAGCCCAAACCACCGGCCTCTGCGGCGAGCGAGCGGCGCTGGGTGCACAGCAGAGCGCTCCCCAGCAAGGAAGACTCCCGGGGAGCAGGCGAGGGAAAAATGAACGACGTCCCCACGCCGCCTCGGAGGGAGACCCTATCCCTCCCGTACCCTGTACCCTGGCACGGACCTTCCTGCGGAGCGCCGCCCGGG